TTTCAGCATCAAAACATTAAATTAAGGTTAATTTTAAGAATTAAAATGAATATTAAATCGCTTTTGTCAATTCATTTTGTGATGATATTTCACCCATCAAGACACAGCTCTTTGTGGAAGAGCATGATTTATAATCCTTTCCTAAATATGGCTGATTATTATCCTGGTGTATGAGCACGTTATCTGTCCATCATCATCATCCTCATTGTCTGTTCGAAGACACGCTGCATTCAGAATGAATTGTGTTTTAGAAGTCCTTCAGTATTTTGCTGGAGATCCATTCACAGTCATACATCTGCCATCACATTCCTCTCATTCATTAGCTGCCCTCTTTCCCAAGAAAATCCAGATGAACTGTTCGGTAATACTGGTCTATAATTGGTTGAAGTAGATGTAAACTGCAATGTTAACCTTCAGAGTTCTTGTTATTAATGTAGATGATATTAATATAGGGACGAGGCAGTGGCGCAGTAGGTAGTGCTGTCGCCTCACAGCAAGAAGGTCGCTGGTTCGAACCTCGGTTCAGTTGGTGTTTCTGTGAGGAGTTTGCATGTTCTCCCTGCCTACGCATGGGTTTCCTCCGGGTGCTCCGGTTTCCCCCACAGTCCAAAGACATGCAGTACAGGTGAATTGGGTAGGCTAAATTGTCCATAGTGTATGAGTGTCTGGATGTTTCCCAGAGATGGGTTGCGGCTGGAAGGGCATCCGCTGTGTAAAAACTTGCTGGATAAGTTGGCGGTTCATTCCGCTGTGGCGACCCCATATTAATAAAGGGACTAAGCCGACAAGAAAATGAATGAATGATATTAATATAGATATATTGCATGTGAAAATATTTGTATTTTTACTCTCATCTCCCTGGAGAAAGATAAACTCAGTCCTGTGTGTCCTCATCTCCCAGCATTCCCTGGGATTAACATCTGTTTTGTGAGCTTTGCAGTTTTTTCACATACTACCATTTGCAAATTGACAATGCTCTTTGGCTAGTTGTAATTGTTATTATTTTCAGTACCATTCAGGTTTTTTTTAAAGCATAAAACTGATTCATGACAGTAAGTAAACCTTTTATAACAGAAGACAAATGCATTTCAAATAAATGCTGCTCTTTTGAAAGTTCAATTAATCAAATAATCCTGAAAACATTCAATAAAGGATCGATGTCAAGAGAACTGTTTGATAATTGAACTGTATTGATCACACTCATAATAGTAATATATGTTTCTTGAGAATTAACGCCTAATATTATTCTTTATAAATTCATTAAAATAATAGTTTATATGTGTTGAGCACATGGAAAGGACTATTTGTGTTTTGTGTTTTAAAGTATATAATTAATGGCGTGTGTTTATTGGCTGCTTGCATTTAAAGGGGGTCTATTATGCAAAAATCTATTTTATAAAGGGTTTAAATACAGTTGTGTGTCATGAGTGTGTGAATATAAGCAGCTTCTAATGGTGAAAATGTATTAATTTTCTTCTTTATAATCACACTTGATATAAACAGTCTGCAGAAACACTTTGATTGACATTCCTTCCTTTAGTAGTGTCATCAGAGGGGGAAAGCCCCGCCCACTAGTGACCATCTCTCCCTCATTAGCATAGGAGATTAGTCTTGTTTTTGAATCCGACGCTATGCTGACACACAGGCATTTGTAGCTCCGCCCTCTTCTGAAAAGAGCACAATCTCATTTGAATTTAAAGCGACAGTCAACAAAACACCTCAATTAGGATCAAAGTCTAAAAGAGGTCTGTTTCAGAGAGTTATAAACATTATAAGTGTGTTATTTTAAGCTGAAACTTCACACACACACACACACACACACACACACACACACACACACACACTAGGGACATAGTTTAAATCTTGTAAAAAGATGCATAATAGTTCCCCTTTAACGACTCAATTTTATAAATGAAGTAAAACTGAAAATTTTGGATGGAAAGCATCGTCGATGCATTGTGATGCACTGTGATATCATATTTAACCAGTTTCATGACAGGATAATAGTAATCAAACGTGTGTTGATTCAAGCGATTTCAGTTTTTAATCATGCAAATCCAACCATTGTAAGCACAACAAACATAAAAGTCTTAAAGCCTGTACGCCCAGCATGATAATTATAATAATATAGATCTTATATCACCCCAATATGACGGTCTACACACTACACATGTCCGTCCAAACAGCTTGAAAAGTAGATTTTTCACCATAGGTGCCCTTTAAAAGATACAGACGACACTGTGGAGAAGCACACTGATGATGTTAAGCGCTCTTGTGAAATATTATTTAAAGATAATGACTATCCTGGAAAAAATTAGCTATACACCATGAGAAATAGTGTTGTTAAATAGATGGAAGTTAATAATGCACAATTAAAAGCAGAATCTAACAATAAACAGATCATTGCCATGTGTCTGTGTGCATGCTAATGTATGTTCCTATATATTATCATGCTTGGTGTAAACGGGCCTTAACTGAGGCCAGACTTTTGAATGGTAGTGTACGTGTCTAAGATACTTTGGTATCTAAAGCATGCCGCTATGACTGTGTTTGAAATCTCTGTAATAGTTTCAGCATTAAAGTAAATGCTGGTGTAGACTCTGTGATCTCAGAGAGCGTTTTGTTTGGGTTGACTGTGTGCCACTGTTTAGATGGCAGTATCATGAAGGCTCGCATTGAGTTTAATTCATAAGGGTTAACAACATCAGCCTGAACCCCCCTCCTCTGCTGAAAATGTGTGGAATGTTCCCCTTTCCTGTGGGACGGGGGTCTGTCTGAATGGGGAGGGTTTGTCTGTCTGTCTGCTGAGGTAAAAAGCCTAAAACTGTTCAGATTGGGACAGGAAGCTGGAAAAGTGCAGCGAGTTTCTGATCTCCACATGTGTCTGAGTGCTGATGCATTTTCAATGCGTTTATTTACTGTGTTTCTGGATTCAATAAAACCATTCCCGCATGTGCTCAGAGTTTAGTCACTGATTTATTTTTATCATTGTAAAGGTATGAGATTCAGTTATAACATTCCTAGGTATTATATAACAGCATTACTTATATAATTGGGTTTTTGCTGGTGATTTAAAGGATAGTTTAGTCAAAAATAAAAGTTTGATCACCCTCAAGTAGTTCCAAAGCTGAGGTAAGGAAGGAAGGATCAGAGAAAAAAAGGAAGGAAGAAAGAAATTAAGAAAAAAAGGAAGAAGGAAAAAGAAAGAAAAAAGAGAGAAAACCAAAACTAAAGAAAGAAAGAATCAAAGTAAGAAAAAACAAAAGGAAGAAAATATAGAAAGAAAGAAAAAGAAAGAAAGAAACTAAAGAAAGGAAGAAAATATAGGAGAAATAAAAGAAAGAAAGAAAGAAAGAAACTAAAGAAAGGAAGAAAATATAGGAGAAAAAAAGAAAGAAAGAAAGAAAGAAACTAAGAAAAGAAAAAGAAAAAAATCTAGAAAGACAAAACTAAAGACAGAAAGAAAGAAAAAGAAAAAATTAAAGAAAGAAAGGAAGATAAAACTAAAGAAAGAAAGAAAATATAGGAGAAAAAGAAAGAAAGAAAAGAAAAAGAATGAAAAATACAGAAAGCAAGACAAAACTAAAGACAGAAAGGAAGGAAGGAAGGATGGAAGGAAGGAAGATGAAACTAAAGAAAGGAAGAAAATACAGGAAAAAAGAGAAAGACGAACTAAAGACAGGAAAAAAGAAAGAAAAAGAAAAAAAACAAAGAAAGGAAGAAAAATCTAAAGAGTTAAAGAAAGAATGAAAGAAAGGAAGAAAATATAGGAAAAAAGAAAAAGACAAAACTAAAGAATATTAGCGTTTCATGCGCTGTAGTCCACATGTGAGTCCAGCTGCGCTCTCATAGAGGGAAATTAAAAACAAAGCCTTCACTGCAGCACATTATAAACGCAACACTGATGACCCGTATCCCCAAACAATTTTTGTTCTCCCACTTGGCAAAACAACATAGCGTCTCTCTGCTGTCTAAACACTGTAACAGGTCAAAGCTATCATGCATATTAATAAAGTTGCAAAATAGTGTGCTGATTGGTTTGAACCAAATCTAACTCATGAATGCAGCACATTCAGAGATGTAATAAGGTACTTCCAGGTACAGATGTCCAGTCTACTACACACTGGGATACACGCTAAGATCTCATGGCCAAGACGCAGCTTCAAAAATTTGTTTCAAATTGGAAGTACGAATTTGCTCGAAATAACGCAAAAACACACCAATATTCACTTTTTAGTGAAATATAGGTGTCCTAATAGTGTTTTTAGCAGTGTGGGACACACATATACGACTGTCAACAGCTCAAAATATGTGTTTTGGTGTTTTCGTGACCCTTTAAAGTGCCAGTTTTTAACCAGGTGTCCATGTTGATGACTATAGTAAGCGAAAAAAAAATACAAATGTGCTATCACTTGGCGCCTAATGGGAAAGGGCAGGGCTATTGTGACCAAACGTGAAACAGTGAGATGAGTGAGGATGCATAGGTTGCAAATTACCATTTGTAAAGTGATTTGATTTTTCTTTTTTCTCTCTCTCTCTCTCTCTCTCTCAGTGAATTGCTTTTTTCATTTTTCCATCAAATTTTTCTTTTATTTTGTATTTTTTGAACACAGAAAAGTGCACAGAATTGTCGAACACAGAATTGCTGTAGACAATCAGCATAAAACAGAATGTGTAGAAATACATATATAAACCAATATACAAGTTGTTAAATAATAGTATTAATAAAAATAGCTTTTTTCTTAAAAATATTTGAATAAAGTATAATAAGTTTTGACATGAAGTTTACCCAAAATAAATGCATAAAAATAATGAAGGACAAAATTTTCTGCCGTTACAAACATTCTGCACACCCCTAGGGTTGAACGCACTTAATTTAGGCATTTAAAAAAGAAAGCTTTTACCATTAAAATAATAGGTTTAACTGTATTTGGATCACTTTTCAGTGTCCTGTAATGTTGCTGATATGATGGTAAAATCTCTGTGTTTTCTCTGTGCAGGTCGAAAGCTCAGAGGGAAAGCCTTTTACTTTGTCTGTGGGAAAGTGTTTTGTGAAGAGGACTTCCTGGTATGCTGTGCTCCCCTCATCTGTTTATGGCTTTTTCATATCTGAGAAATGTCTTTGAGCCGTTTGTCATAGTGATGTCAGAAGAGTGTGTCATCTTATCTGAAGTATGTCTGTAAAACATTATGAGGATTCAGGTTTCAAAACATGAACCTGATCATGAGCTCAACTTGGCAAACGTTTAAAAGTAGACCAGCGGGATCTAGCAGTGTGCATCTTAGATATGCAGTCATGTGTGTAATGGATTGTCATGCAGGCATCAGAATTAGCCCACCACCCCATTTGGAGCTATGAAGAATTATTTGTAGTTCGTCTCGAGTGAAGTGTTGAGTTTTTTCACTTACAAAGCCCAGCATGTAAATAGCAAATCAGGCATGGTGTGACTGCAACTCGCTTGTATTTAATTGTTAACATACACAACTAGTGACAGATAAATTATGAGAAAATCACTAAGACTTACAAATAAACAATATTTTATTGCTGTCATTTAACAAAATGTATCAAATTATAGAATATTACAGAGTAAAAATGTCAAACAGGGCTCAACAATAAGGACTGCCCGGTGGCCTGGGGCCAGCGTGCGAGGCGCTCTGGACAGTAGACAGAATTGTTACTGGCCCGATTCGTAGTGCCTTGTCACAAAAGTTCAATTTGTCTGCAACTATTTGTCAATTGCATATGAATACAGTCTTAGAATCGAGAAACGGTTTGTTCTTTTAAGCCTTTAAGTGCTACCTTCTCAGTGATGTTATATACACCATATTGCTTTCCGGTTCCTTCTATCTGATTGGATGTTGTGAGCATGTCGTTTTTTTGTAACCTGGTAAAAACCAGTACAGCAAAATGAATTTATGAGGCTAAAAGAATGTCTTGGAAGCAAACATTTACGTGGGTACAATGCGACGATATGCTCATACATTTTTTAACATTTTAAAAATATTAAATTCTAGATTTAAACACATTTTTGACACAATATTAAAAACATGTGGCTAAGAAATAGCTATTAACTTTTTTTTTTGGTGGGGCCAGTGAAAATATTGGCCGGGCAAGTAAAAATCTGAACCGCTGGCCCAATCGGGCCAGTAGAAAAAATCCTTAGCGTTGAACCCTGTCAAATACTGTAAACAGTGGTTAGGGTAAGGAAAAGTTAAGTTACCATTAACTAAACTGACCTGTTTATAAAACATTAACACTGATCTGCTTGAACTGAACAGAAACCAGCAAACTGAAGTAAAATTATTAAAACAATCATAACCATTTTATAATAATCAGCAGTTATTTGCTGTTCTGCTTTTGTGTGGGCTTTCTTGGCCTTTGCTACACGGTGAGCACAGTAAGATGTACTTGTACTTTATTTGAACATGAAGATGTTCGGCACTTTTGTGATGCCCTCAGCTATTAGAGTCGTTTTAGAAAATAGTCCACAGGTTTTTCCTTGCCACTGGGATGTTTGGTTTCTAAATGTTGTTTTAATTTAGGTTTCATTTCTCTCTTGAAAGCACCTCACTGCATATGACACACTGAGGTTTTAAGCCTTACTCGCACGCGCCCGTCAGAATTTGTGGGCTAGCGCAGAAGCTCCATTAAATATACTGGGGTAAAATAAATGCTCATATTATAAAGACATGGCGCGCTGAAATGTAATTTAATGCAGTGCTTCTTGTACAATCTAAGGCCAACTTTATATCGGATATCACTCAGCCAGTGGAGATCGCTGATTTTTAAAGAAAACTGACCTTAAACGCGCCGGTTTTTGCATTGCAGTTCGCCAAAACCGCTTAACCCAGGTTACTGGCAAATTAAAAGTCCCATTAGCATGCTTCAGCACGCGCATTTCAAAATAAAAGTCTGATATAAGCAAAATTAGTTAAATATTAAACTTTTGTTGTTTTTTTGATCTCACTCTCTGCGACCCACTGGGTCGCGACCCACCAGTTGAGAAACTTTGCTTTAGACCATGTGCTTATATTAAAATAATGTTGTTGCGTAAATGTTGGTTGAATTGAATTTATTGAATTGAATTTATTGAATGGGATAGCCCCTTGAGATGAATCATCTCATTTTCGAGGGGGTCCCTAAAAGTTCACAAATCAAACACATCATAAAGTACATACACTTGACAAGACAAACAATCAAACAAGCAGCACACTCCACCTGAAACACTTCCCATAATCCGAAGCCTAAATAAGCAACAACATCTAACCAAAAGTACAAACAATTTGATATGCAAATAAATAATAAACATTTAATTTAATTTTGAGCCAAATTTAATAACATTCGCAAGTTCTTTCCAGAAGAGAAAATAAATTAGCCCTAAAAAGACGAAGTGATTTAATTGATCTAAAAAAGGAAGGGAGATTGTTCCAGTCGAAAGGAGCTTTGTATCGAAAGGACCTGCAGCCACTTTCTGTAGAAATTCTGGGAACCAAAAAATAATTCTGTTGCACATGACGAAGCGAATATGATGATGTAAATGAAACAAAAACAGCTTTAAATAAGAAGGGAAATTAAAGTAAACACATTTAAAAAGAAACAAATACCAATGATACTGTCTGCGAAACTTAGATTGAAGCAAACCAAGTGTTTCGGTTCAGCTTTAGCTGTGGGATAGGCGTTGTGTTAACAAACACCTGAAGGTTTCAGACCAACACATTGATCAGATTGGGTGTTTGATTAGCAGTGCCTGACCTATTTTTGTTAATGCTTTATGTTGTTAATTTGAGGTTTTATTTTTCCATTTTTAAGACCTGCCAAAGATCAGATATGTTTTGTGTCCTGACATGGTTCTAACATTATTGACTTAATTCAGTAATTTAGATGCATATTAGATTACCCACAAATAAAATTCACATGACTTTGAGCATGTGTTTAGTGCCAGTAGAAGTGGAGATGAAACACATTCCTGACTCTGAGTTTTTGTTTATTGAATGTTCTTTAGTTGATGATTGTGTCTGAGCTGTAAATGTTGTGTGGTTTAGTGATGAAATGAATGAGAGTCATCTGAAAGCTTTCTTCTTGTATTTTACAGTACTCTGGCTTCCAGCAGTCTGCTGACAAATGCAGTGTGTGTGGACATTTAATCATGGACATGGTGAGTGTGATGAAGCACACTGCATTATTCATGATATCACACCACTGACAGTCAACTGGAGTTTAAAAGAGCTGCTTGGGGTTAAATTCGTCTTATTATGTAGTGCTCTTTACATTGATTAGATGTAATGAATTCCTCATTTACCACTGGCCCAGCAAGCATTTCATTGTGTTAAGTAGATGTTCAAACATCAACGTCTCGGCTAAAACAAGGCTTAATTTTTGCTAAAAAGTAAATATATATATACAGTTAAAGAAAAAAAAGGTTCGCCCAATAGTCTGGCGACACTTCTGGAGCCACTTTGACACAAGAGGAGACTAATCAGATACAGAAAGTGTGGCGCTGTGTGTGTTGCGTGTTAGCATGTGAACGCGTTGTTCCTCCTCAGATCCTGCAGGCGCTGGGGAAGTCTTACCACCCAGGCTGCTTCCGCTGCGCCATCTGTAACGAGAGTCTGGACGGAGTGCCTTTCACTGTGGACACCGAGAACAAGATCTACTGCGTGAAGGACTACCACAGGTGAGCTGGTGTAGAGCTGCAGGTCCACACACACTGTAAATAAATAGATGATGTATCAATCAAAGTGTTTCTGCAGACTGTTTTAATGATGTGTGTGTTTATAACATGTAGAATTAATTCACTTTACCATTAGAAGCTGGTTATTTTCACACACTGCTGCCACACAACTGGGTTTAAACCCAGAATATAAGTGATTTTTGCATAATAGATGCATAATAGAAGTGAACAGATGCATAAAGTGAGCTATAGAAATTTCCTTCAGCTGATTGTAGATGTGTGCTGTGAGGAATTCTCCGAATGTCTTCCACAGGCATTTTCCTAGCAGTAGCTTGATGTAATGCCATTTTATAGTGAGTTTTATTGCTCTTGAGTGTGTGTGTGTGTGCATGCGTGTGTGTGCAGATTCTTCTCATGCATCCTTAGCCGTGAGCGGTGAAGTGAGCCACGATTACTGTTGCTCCCAAACCTCAGTCAGTCAGGTGGAGACCATATGGAGGTTAAATCAAACAGTGTTTTTCCACTTTGTCCTTCTGGGATTGGAGTGAATATACGAGCCAGCACATCTTGAGTCTAGTCCAGTCTCTTTGGCTGCATATACACTGCAGATCTTGATGGTCAATTCTAATTTTGTGACTGTATGCGATCTTTTTTTTTTTTTTTTTTTTTGCTGACCCGCTTACATCTTTTAAAAAAAAGTGACTCGTATCCGATTGCCAGCATTTACACAGCACACAGCAAAGGCGCAATGACCAGAAAAAAAAGAGCGGGCGCTGACTGACAGCTGTTAATAAAAGAGCACTCTTTTCTCCATTCCTCTATTTAGGCCCCGTTTACACTTGTGCGTTTTTGTTTTAAAACTGTGTTTTAGATGAAAAATGATCCGCCTCCACACTAGCGTTTCACCTAGCGTTTCAGAACATATCTCCGTCCACACTACGCCACCAAAAACGTATATCACGTGACCATTCGCGCACTCTGGGCATGCGCGTTCTAGTATAAACAGGAAGCATGTGTCTCACTCGGCATTTGGTTATTGTTAGTCAACAAACGCCGGTTGAACAATGAACGCAATGGCAAAGAAAGCAAGAGAGGTATTTTTGTAGACAGACGATGAGGTCGAGTTGTTGTTACTAAACGTAATAAATGAGTAACTGCACAATGGCGCCTGAAACAAACAATAGTGCAAACAACGCTCCCATTTCTGTGTCTGTGTTGTTGTTTACAGTGAAGGCTTGGTCTTCCGGTAGCGTTAAAGCCATGTGTTATAGTCATGTGATAGGGGCTTGAGAATAAGGGAAGGATATGCAATGACACAAAAGCCCCAATCAGGTAGTGAATCTCAGCAGCCCCGCCTCCGTGTTCAGATGTCTTCGTTTTCCCCCATCCACACTGAGACAGAGCAGCAGCGTTTCAGAATGAAAACAGCCTCTGCAGCGTTTCCAAAACGCTCCGTTTTCGACACTCGTAGTGTGGACGGATGTCGTAACCGTTGCAAAACTTATGCGTTTTAAAACGAAAACGCATTAGTGTAAACGGGGCCTTAATCTGTTCACAGGGTTACATTTTTTATTTCTTTTGACAAGCTGTTTTACTATAGTTTATGACAGAAAAGTTCTCATTTTGCCATCCTTCTTTAATCTAGGCCTTTTTAAACCAATTGCAGGGTTTCTGCGGGGTCTTAAAAGTCTTACAGTTTTTCTCAGTGGCTTTGGTGCATTTCTCACAACATCATTTACAACTATTTACAACAGTAATGCATTTCTCAAAACAATTAGTACGAACTGCAAGACATAGCTGATAACCTGCAAAAGCATGTCACTTGCTCAAAATGGAGAGCTCATTCCCCAAAAGCAAGTATTGATGTCAATGAAAGTGTCAGTGTCATCAAGATGAAAAGTGCTGACACCATTGTTTATGAACAAGATAGTCAAATGGCTGTCATGCTTTCATTCGTTTTCTTTTTGGCTTAGTCCCTTTATTATTAGGAAACCCACGCGAACACAGGGAGAACATGCAAACTCCACACAGAAATGCCAACTGACCCAGCCGAGGCTCGAACCAGCGATCTTCTTGCTGTGAGGCGACAGCACTACCTACTACGCCACTGTGTTGCCGCTGTCATGTTTTCATGATGATGTCAATTATTTCCACTGCAATAGTCTGATTTTGGTGACACTTTCTAAAAAGGCTCAAGACAGCTCTGTATACTATTTGCACAGCCATTTAAAAAACTAGAGTAAAGATAGAGCTCACTGCATTTAGTGAGGTATCTGAGCACAAGACACTGAATATGTATGTTTCACATTTGTACTGCATTTGCTCTTTGCAGTTCTACTTTATTCACAGCATTGTGCAAAAGAATAAATGCACCCTTATTTACAACAAACTTAAACTTGCCCACCCTAAAAGAGCTGCATAATATTTTGACTAAAATCCTGATTCACTTGTTGGTTCAGATTGATTGCAAGAACGTTTTAATTAGCTCTGAGAAAACCTTGAGCGTAATCAAATTGCAGAAAACACTTTGATATTTGACTTAATGCACTGACATTTTTAAATGTAGCTGAAGTACCACTAAACATGTTTTTGTACACCGGGTCAAGAGTGATCCTGATGCCTTTCATCTTTTCTTTAATGGAGGACTTTCGTTATTTCTTGCTCTTTGTGATTTCTCATCTTTCTCTTGTCATCTTCAGGGTTCTCGCTCCTAAATGTGCAGCCTGCAATCAGCCCATCCTTCCCTCTGAGGTAAGACACATGTAACATAAGCCATTCACCCTTTACAAACTTCTCACACTGAGACCGACTTTACAGAGACCCACATGACATGCAAGAAGAACAAAACAATGAATGAAAGAATGAATGAAGTTCCTAAAACTAGGATAGGTGACAAGACTTTTGTCAGGTAATTTATGTATTTACATATTTATTATATCACAAATGATTAAACTGATTTACAGTTTTTCTAGTTTGCTTTGACCTGGTTAAAGAAACTAGGTTCCTCTTCATTTTCATTATCACTATCCCAGCAGAGCAGAGGACAGGTCTTGCAAATGTGTAAACCCTTTCTCATTGGGTTGACACATTTTCCCCACCATTTTTCCAAACAGTTAACACAGATGTCATTCAAGCAGTCCAAACTCCATTGTTTTAGTTTTGGTAACCAAACAGAATCCATCTATTCCTAACTATTAAAAACTACCAACATCAGTATGAAATCACTGAAGCACCGGTTTGACACTCCTTCACACAAATCTTCAATTAGCCATCATTCTGCAAACCTTATTAAAACGATGGAAGGTCTGTGTTGTTCTGTGCCAGCATTGATGGAGGAGGTCAATATGGCTTTGTCCTAACTGGGCTATAAGAAACAATCCTTAGCGTTTAGCCTTGTTTAAGTCAAAAATTTTATTCATAATAGTGTTAAAAAGGTCTTGAAAAGTCTTAAATTTGACTTGATGAAACCTGTATAAACCCTGTGGAATGAGAGGGCAAAGTATAGGTAAGATTCAGATTGTATGAATTAGATATAGAGCTGTGATTCTGAATTAAGCTCTTCTCAAATAGAGAAGCCTCTAGGTCATCAGCATCTTAATTCCTTTAAAGTTTTTCATACATAGATGAAAAAACATGAGCATTATTTTGTATTTATGCATGTATACTCCCAATAGTTTTGACTGTATATTAGTTTACATGTGTTTTCTCTAATATTTACAGTATTTTATTACTTTTGTCTTTTTTTTTATATACAGTATTTCAGTTTTCAGCCACAGTTTGAAAAATGTCATGAATTCAATATATATTCAATCAAAGCACATCTTATTCTTGATCCAATTCTTTGCAAAAAGGCGAATTTGACAGCCCAAATAGAGACAACAAATGCCATTGGCTATAAGCTACAATGGCAAGCAATGGTGGTGCATTTTGAGTTCTGTATTTTGTATTTTGTTGTGCATTGTGTAATGATTAATTGAAAGAGCTCTTATACTTGTTTGCAAGTTGTGTAGTTTGAAGGTAAAACTAGCTTTTGTTGCATATGTTAAATGTTTTGACACGATATGTGCCTTTTGCAAGCAAAATGTGTCATTTTGACCATGAGTGCCGCTGTTTAGGCCTGTGTGTTAACTGTTTTGAAAATGTGGAGTTTCAGTTGACAACTGCATCCAAGCAATCGAGAAAAACTGTAACTGAACACAATTTATTTTTATCAAGAGAATAAAATCATATTAATCATGCACATGCTCTAGTACAGGGGAGTCCAAACTCGGTCATGGAGGGTCTGTGTCCTGCATAGTTTAGCTCCAACTTACTTCAACACCTGCTTGAAGCTTTCTAGTATACTGTACCTAAAAAAACGAGCCTAATTAGCTGGTTCAGGTGTGTTTAATTAGGGTATGAACTAAAATATGCAGGACACCAGCCCTCCAGGACTGAGTTTGGGCAGCTCTGCTTTAGTACATCTAGGGTAGTTATAAATCCTGCTCACAATTTACTTAATATGGCGGAAAAATGAATCATCTCTAGTAAAACAGGAGAACTAAAAAAATAGTTTGCATGATTTTAAAAATAGGAATGAGTAAATCATGCGCAAGCTCCAGTAATTCGTCAAGTTCTGTCGTCATTTCCTCAATCTTCACTTGTCACAGGCCTGTTTGATTTTGAACACAAAAGAAGATATTTAGAGAAATATTTACAGAAACCTGTAATCATTGACTTTCATTGTATTTGTTTTTCCCTCTACGGAAATCAGTGCACTGCAAAAAATGCTTTTCTTACTTTGATTTTTAGTCTTGTTTCTAGTCCAAACATCTAAAAATTCCTAAATTAAGAAGAATTTTCTAGACAAGAAAAACATATTGAGAAATATGAGAAATTATCAGAAATAATATGCCAATAATATTATTATTAATAGAGTTTTTCCTTAAAACAAGTTAAAAATCTGCCAATGGGGTAAGCTAAATAATCTTACGTCTAAAGAAAAAGCAAGATTAATTTGCTTACACCAGTGGCAGATTATTTTGCTTGTTTTAAGGAAAAACTCACTTAATATTGGCATATTATTTCTCAAAACAAGATAATATGTTTTGCTTGTCTAGAAAATGCTTCTTGATATAAGAAATTTTAGATATTTAGACTAGAAACAAGTCAAAAAATTTAAGCAAGAAAAGCATTTTTTGCAGTGTGGTTACAGGTTTCTTAACATCTTTTTTGTTCAGCAGAGTAAAAAGAAACTCATAAAGGTTTGGAACCACTGAATTTTTAATTTTGGGTGAACTTAAGACTTTAAAATAAGGAACTAAATTACATTTTTTTTTGGATGTCATGCTGAGACCTGGCAGCACGGTGGCTTAGCGGTTAGCACTGTCACCTCACAGCAAGAAGGTCGCAGGTTCAAGTCCAAGCTGGGCCAATTGGCATTTCTGTGTGGAGTTTGCATGTTCTCCCCGTGTTCGCGTGGGTTTCCTCCAGGTGCTCCGGTTTCCTAAATTGGATAAAGTGTATGAGTTTGTGTGTGTATAGGTGTTTCCCAGTACTGGGTTGTGGCTGGAAGGGCATCCGCTCTGCAAAACACATGCCGGAATAGTTGGCGGTTCATTCCTCTGTGGCGACCACTGATAAATAAGGAACTAAGCGGTATGAAAATTAATAAATTAATGCTGAGATCTCTACAACTACAGCTTCATGCACTATCCAGAACATTACATTACGTTACCTCCTTTAGGTCTGTTACTGAAGAAAATTCTCTCAGCATTGATGATGGACTGATCACTACTAAGTTAAGGCGTGAGTAATTTGTTAAAGCCCCTGCTCTCTATAATTAGAGACACGACCCCAGAGGCATGCAGATCTCTGACACCGTCATGAGAGGCTTCAGTTCAGAGCCAACACATTGAACTGCATTATGAGAAACTCTCGGATCATGGCCCAAGTGGAGCATGAGAACAGTTCACAGCTCAAATCTCCACATTAAAACAACAGTATACTGTGTTATCAACCTTATTCCTAATGTACGAGTGGCTGCAGCCTTTGGAAGGTTTTTGGCTTGACACTTCTGGTCTGATTCAGTCATTCATTCATTTTCCTTTGGCTTAGTCCATTTATTTATCAGGGGTCACCAACATTCCAGCATATGTTTTACGCAGTGGATGCCCTTCCAGCCGCAATCCAGTACTGGGTAACACCCACACACTCTCACATTCACACACACACTCATACACTACAGCCAATTTAGCTTATTCAATTCTCCTATAGTGCATGTGTTTGAAATGTGGGGGAAACCAGAGCACCTGGAGGAAACCCACACCAACACGGGGGAGAACATGCTCCCCACAGAAATGCCAACTGGCCCAGCTGGGACTCGAACCAGCAACCTTCTTGCTGTGAGGCGATAGAGCTAACCACTGTGCTACCTTGATTCTAGAATCTGAATCAGGAGAATCTGTAAATGTCTTTTGTTTGGTTATGGGAGTGATGTGTGTTGTCATCTCATTGGTTGTTTACTGTCGTAGGGATCGGATGAAACCATTCGCGTGGTCTCCATGGACAGGGACTATCATGTGGAGTGTTACCACTGTGAGGTGAGTTTGAAGGCGACGCTACTTACTTTCAAAATAATAGTTAGTTGTTTAGCGGTCATCAGCATCTTTTTTTTACTTTATTTATTTATTTATTTTTTGTCGAGTCTACCAAAAAAAAAAACACACAATATCAATAATTTACACCTTTTTATTTTATTTTTATTTTATTTTTTTTTTACAATAAATGTACACACACACACACACATTAATAGCAGAGGTCTTTCTTGAAAAAACTAATCGTATAAATCAGAGGTGTGTTGCATTCCTGATCAATTAATTAGAGGATCCCAGTTTTTATACAATTTTTCAGTGGAACCTCTTAATGTTAACGTAATTTTATTTAAATATATAAAATAGACATCAAATCGTCTAACCATGAGAGTCAAAGGAGGTTTAGAAGACCTCCAGTGTAATAAAATCCGTCTCCGGGCTATCATTGACACAAAGGCTAGAACATTAGCATTCTTAATTGAACGGTTATCCAATAAAGCAAAGTTGAAAATTGTAGAAAAAAGCATCAAAGAAAGAACTCCAAAAATTTGCACAAGAAAAAAACATGTTGGTATGATCAACAGGAGCCAGAGAGCAGCTATTACAGCAAACATCCACGCCTGGGAATGGCTTACCTAATTTGACATTCGTTAGGTGAATTCTATGAAGAACCTTAAACTGAATCAGACTCAGTCTGGCACAAGAAGAAGAGGAACTAACTCTCTCAGCAGCCATTTTCCACCATTTCTGATCCAAACCAACTCAAAGTTCTTTCTCCTATTGATGCTTAAACAGGGAACAGGGCTTCTGCGGGGTCTTAAAAAGTCTTAAAATTCCTTAAATTTAATAATCAAAATGTAAGGCCTTAGAAAGCCTTAAATTCACTGAAATCATGTGTTGTAGGTCTTAAATAATTTTAAAAAGGTCTTAAATTTCCTATGTCCATGTAAAGCTATCCAATCTGACCAACACCCATCTAACCATTAACATTCCATCTCGATAAGCGTTTTACCAAAAGTTTATTTATTAACTCTTATTTATTAACTCTATTTACCAACTCTGTTTATATTTATATGTATAAACATATGGTTTAATTATCTTCCTTGCAAAATTAATTTTCGATGTTTTTTTTTGTTTTAACTGGGCTATAAGAAACAATCCTTAGCGTTTAGCCTTGTTTAAGTCAAAAATGTTATTCATAATAGTGTTAAAAAGGTCTTGAAAAGTCTTAAATTTGACTTGATGAAACCTGCATAAACCCTGGGGAATGAGAGGGCAAAGTATAGGTAAGAATCAGATTGTATGAATTAGATATAGAGCTGTGATTCTGAATTAAGCTCTTCTCATATAGAGAAGCCTCTAGGTCATCAGCATCTTAATTCCTTTGAAGTTTTTCATACATAGATGAAAAAACATGAGCATTATTTTGTATTTATGCATGTATTCTATCATCTTTGCATCAAATTACAAAAAACTAATGACCGCTTGTGTGAGGTGTTTGCAATTCAGCATCTATGGACAGTAAATCTGACATTATTCTCTCTTCTGCTACTGTAATCAGTCTCACACTATTTGTTTCCTTCTGAAAGTCTTGATAACACCATGGTGGAGTTTTTATTTTATTATTTCAGCAAATAGCATTGTAAATAATGATTTCTTGTGTTCTCCCATTCACTGCGCTCTGAGTTTACCAACTATGACGATTTCTGCTGCTGAGAAACCAGTAAATGTGAAAAGGGTCCACACACCTGATGCATTTTAACCAGCACTAGAGCTCCATTTTGAGGGATGCAAACGAAAACAGTGGTCCCCACATACTTCCTGTTTTACATTTTTAATTTCTACAGCTTCTGAGAATCCAAAAAGAGGCACATATTGATAAATAATGTTATTATAGCTGCTTTAACAATCAGTTATGATTGAATTGCATTCTTGTTACAGTTATGAAATAGTTTGATAGCAAGCAGGAAATGTTCATGGACCAATGACACGACCACATTAAAACGATGTATAAATGACTGATTTGTTGGCTTTGGTGGTGATGCTGTAAAGCTGTTTTGCTGAAGATGTGAATGTTTTTTCTTCAGGACTGTCAGATGGAGCTGAATGATGAAGAAGGTCACCGCTGTTATCCTCTAGACGGACACTTGCTCTGCCACGCGTGTCACCTAAAACACATCGACCCCCAGTCCACAGCAAACAACTTCCACACTCACTTTTAGACATCTGCACTGCACAAATACGCTTTTCTTATGTAGATTTGTTGTCTTGTTTCTTGCCCAAATACCTCAAAATTCCTAAATCAAGAAGCATTTAATTGACAAGCAGAACATAATGTCTTGTTTTAGGAAATAATGTGTAAAATTAATGTGAGTTTTTTTCTAAAAACAAGATTATTTTGCTTGTTTTAAGGAAAAACTCACTTTATTTTGGCACATTACTTCTGAAAATAAAATAATATTTTATGCCTGTCTAAAAAATAATTCTTCATTTAAGAGGTTTTAGATATTTGGGCTAGAAACAAGACAGAATCTAAGAAAGAAAAGCATTTTTTGCAGTTTGACGCCCTCCTGTGGCACTTCACAGACAATACCAAAGATGCTCCGCTGGTGCAATACCAAATTCAGTCAAGATTGCGTTATAAATGTGTGAGATACAGTGGATATAAAAAGTCTACACCCGTGTTAAAATGCAAGGTTTTAGTGTTGTAAAAAAATAAAACTAGAGTAGAACTTTTTCCTCACACCTTTAAGGCAATACTTTGTTGAAGTAAATAAAAAACTAAAATAAAGTGGTTGCATTAGTGTACACACCTTTAAGGCAATACTTTGTTGAAGTAAATAAAAAATAAAGTGTTTACTGTAGTTTCATTTTTATACAAGACAGAAACCTTGCATTTTAACAGGGGTGTGTAGACTTTTTATATCCACTCTCCATCATTATTATATTACATCATTTAAGAAATACTTCTATTTATATTTTATTATTTTATATTTAGCTTTTCCATTATTATACAAATGCTGTACACGATGAGCCGCTGGCTTACACGGCAATATTGCTGCAGAGTTTTTTGTAAATATAGCAACTATTACGAAACCTTTAACTGAGTTTCTCCAAAGCCAAGGAAGAATATATAAGCTTTTATTTAAGTTTTACTAAAGGTGTGCTCGGTAATTGTATTCATTCTCTTCTTGTACTGGTTTATATAGCTGTTTTATTATTAGTATTATTATTTTGTTTTGGTGTACTGATACATGTACAATACATAGTCAAGCTCAATTTACACCAACAGATGTTTATTTGGGGTGTAATAGATAATGTACTTCACGTTTACCAAATAGACATGGCTATTTATGAATGTATATTTATTATAGTAATATAGACCCAGTTGCATGAAAATTGGGTATTAAAATCAGTTAATGTTCTGTCACACTTCAAAAAAATGGCTCCTCTCTGAGTTTTTGTCTTGTTTCTAGTCTAAATATCTACAAATTCTTAAATCAAAAAGCATTTCCTTGTCAAGTAAAAAATATTGTCTTGTTTTTAGAAATGATATCTCAAAAATAAGTGTGTCTTTTTCTTAAAACAGCAAAATAATCTGTCAATGGGGTAAGTCAAATAATCTTTCAAAGCGAAAACAGGGTACCCCCGGGACCCTCCTAATTAAATTCACAGCTTTTTAAGACCTTTTTATTACCATTTCAAATGAAATTTAATGCCTTTGTACCCATTCCGACAGAAGTATGAGGGGAAAATGTAAAATCTGTATAAATTTTGAACCCTAGAAAATAATTATGTACAAGTGACTACTTAAATTGAATAAAACATTTTTAAAAGCACACACACACACACACACACACACACACACACACACACACACACACACACACACACCTGTAACAAGCTGTCTGTATAAATCCACACACACATAGACACAAAGCACCAAGCAAGCAACAAAGCATTACGCTCTCTCTCATTCACACACATAAACACACACACATATGCGCGCTTGCTCGCTCGGGAGCTTAAGTGCCAGTGAAAGACTGTCCAGAAAACTCCTGCTATGAAATTGAGCACTGTTTCTGTTTTTAAGCAGTTAGAGCATTGTAAATACTCGCGCTCGCCTCCCTCGCCATAGTAGCGTAAGTTACAGCGACGCACTTTCTGCTATGACGTGGAGCGTGAGTTGCACTCAGCGATACGCTGCATGATTTTTAATTAGCCTACATTAGTAACAGGTCATTTTGTTATGGTATGAACTTTAATCCTAGGGAAGGCAAAAATAAATAAATTATTTAAGATCTTCGTAGCGAAATCCAAGACTTTGTATACCAAATTCAAGGCTATTAAGGCCTTAATTTGAGATTATCAAATTTAAGACTTTTTCAATGCTTTTCAGACCTCACGGGTGCTCTAAAAAACAAAATTATTTTGCTTGTTTATGGGGAAAACTCAGTTAATTGTTGCATATTATTTCTAAAAACAAGACAATATTTTTTACTTGAAAAGAAAATGCTTCTTGATTTAAGAATTTGTAGATATTCATACTTGAAACAAGACAAAAACTTGCAGATTTAATTAATTTTATATGGAAGGTTGTTTCCACCACAGTAAAAGTAATAAAAAATGTGTAATTGGGACTCAAAATAGAAAATTTTTACAAAAAATATTTACTTGTAAGTTTGCTTTTCTGTGATCTGTGAGAAATCAAATCAGAACTGCAAAAATAATTGACAACTTTGCAACTTTAAAGGGGACCTAATATGCAAAAATCACTTTTAATCTGGGTTTAAACACTGTTGTGTGTCAGCAGTGTGTGAATATAAGCAGCTTCTAATGGTGAAAATGAATTAATTTTATTCTTTATAATCACACTTGATCAAAACCGTCTGCTGAAACACTTTGATTGACATTCTCCCTTTGTACGTGTCATCAGAGGGGGAAAGCCCCGCCCACTAATGACCATCTCTCCCTCATTAGCATAGAACTTTAGTCTTGTTTTTGAATCTGCCACTATGCTGACACAGGCATTTGTAGCTCCGCCTTTTTTGAAAATAGCTCATTTGAATTTAAAGCCACAGTCACCAAAACATCACTATTAGTTAGGATCAACGCCTAAAGGGGTCAGTTTCAGAGAGTTATCAAACAATATTAGTGTGGTATTTTGAGCTGAAACTACACACTCACACACTCATCAGAGACTTGTTTTTTTATCTTGGGCATAATAGGTCTCCTTTAAACTCAGAATTACAAGGAAAAAAGTCAAAATTTTAAGAAAGATAGGTGCAGTTGTGTTGTGGAAATGTGCTGCCATACATTTTAAATGCCAAACACTTTTCATTTCATTAAACTTAGAAACTTTTCTCACCGATCACATCAGTTTAATTACCACAACATCAATGATCTGTCATTTGACCTTTATTTTCTCACACAATCAGATTAGCATTTTCAACAGCTGTACATTTGTATTCTCAGTAATACCTTTGCGATTTCATCTCCACTGTAAGTCCTGGCAGGTCAAACACATACTTCGACTGACTGGAAGACGAATTACTCTCGGTTTAGTTTTCTTGAGGCCATTATTTCAGATGCATTTATTTTTCCTGATAATTATACTTCTGTACATAGTGTTCTCCATAAACATTGGGCCTTACAGAACATCAGGTGATTTTCCAAGACTGCCATTACTGAAGCCAGGAGTAAAGATCATGTAAATGTGGGAACTTGTTTTGCAAAACACACACCAGATGAAGATGAAATGATCTCGAGGCCATATATGAGTACAGCTCAGCTCACCGTGAAGGACTTGGCGAGTCTGTTTCTGTATTTTGATTGTTTTAAGTTGATTGTGATCTCTATCAGTATTATTTATCCATCTGCTCCAATTAAAAATAGGATATGATGAGGTTATTGGAAATTGTGTCATGCTGGTGATTTCTTAAAATATTGTATGCAGACATGCCAGGTCTGCTTACAATACACACGTTTAAATCAAGGGTCATGTTTTTGGGGGGTTTTATGCAACACAGGCTCATTACGGATATGTACCCAGGTCTACATTTCTGGGGAGAGCAGAATACATAACCGGAGGTACGTCTGCTCGCAGTTTTGGTTTGTGCAAATCCACCAGAGGGTGCTGTGCATGCTTTTTTATGATCTCAAATTTCTTGCAGGTTCTCTTCTCGCATAAATCCAGCAGGCCAGCTTGGTTTATCTTTTTTGCTGTGGTTTTACCTGGTTTCTGGAACCGTTCTTCCCCGGATTCAAACCCTATCATCATGATCAACTCCTCTCCGTGTCCCAAGTCCACCGACATACACAGCGAGCTACTGGGCAACTGGTAAAAGCCAGTGGAGGTAAGCGGAACACAAAAAGGAACACAAGCCATCAGTAGTGTCATACCGCCTCGTAGCATCCATTTTAAAGACGAAATGCAGCCAGACGTACCTGTGGGTACATAATTAGAGCTCTCCAGAAATATAGACAACGGTACATATCCACAATGACCCGGTGTTGGTTTATATGACACGAGGACATATATGAGAAGCAATTTTGCTTACTTTTATGATTTAATAGCCAATCAGTCCATTAAAAGTGCAGAAGGTGATCTGCCTAAATGCTAACCGGTTAGCATGATATCTTTGAAATACAATACCAATAATGTAATGAAGCTGACAATACATCTTTAAAATCACTGGAATAAACGATTCAATTAAATTATAAACTATTTTTCAAGAGTTCACACTTAGCTGAGGATTGATTATAAAGCATGTTTGGCATGCTGTCCTGGGAGAGAGCCCTGAGCTCAGAAGATCCTCGAGCTGCAGGGTTTCCTCACGTTTGTAAGGCGAGAGGGGAGTTTGAGCTCAGGTAGATCTGGAAAGCTCCCCTGCTGATAGTGATCGCTCTAAAGAGATAACTACTTACTAGGAGCATAGTGCCGATTTGGATTAGTCAATTAACTTAAGTTGCATGTTTTGGGATGGTAAGAAGAAACCGGGGACCCCGGGGGAAACTCACGTGAGCACGGGGAGAACGTGTAAACTCCACACAGAAATGTCGGCTGGTTTGGTAATGACTTGAACCAGTGATGTTTTGCTGTGAGGCAACAGTGCTAACCACTGGCCCGCCTGCCACCCATCTAGGAAAGGAGGAGGAGTAGGGGTGAAGGGGGATTCTTCAAAACAAAGATGGCTGTCATATGGAACTTAGGGTATTTATAGTGGCTTAGCAATCGTCTGATTGGTGAATCGTTAATTGAATTATTATTATTATTTCCTTTATTTAGCCAGGAGATCACATTGAGACAGTACTGTCTCCTCTTCCTGTGAGACCTGGTCAAGATGGCAGGCAGCACATAAAGTTTCACATAAAGTCACAAAAACACTACCACAAAGTTACAATTACCATTCATAAAAACATCAGATCATTAAAAACAATTACAAGTGGCCTTTAGGATGTTGTGTAAAAGGTGTTTAAAAGTACTCAGAGTCGGCAGTGTGTTAAGATTGAGCCTATTTTGCAGGTCATTCCAAGCTCTGGGAGCGTAAACGGAAAAAGCATGTTTGCCAAGTTCTGACAGGGACGAATACATGAACCAGATCTAGTGTGTTGGTTATTTGTGTGAAATGTTAACAAATTAGAAAGATAGGATAGTAATTTACCTAAAAGAGCCTTTAAAATAAATAAGTACGATGTAATTTTCTCCTTTGATATAAAGATAACCAGTCTAAGGAATCATACAAATGACAGTGATGTGTTCGTGAGTCTGCACCTGTGACGAAGCGTCCTGCTGCATGATCAACAGAATCTCGTTTTCTTAGTAGAGTAGCTGCTGCGTGCATATAAAGATGATCACCATAATCCATTATAGACAGAAATGTACTCCTTTTTTACGGGCTTTATAAGGAAAACAATTTTTTGATCGGTATAAAAAACCTAATTTTGACTTTTTCAATAACTTGTCAATGTGTATATCAAAGGCTAATCTCTCATCAATCCAAATACCTAGATATTTGTAGAAGCTAACTCTTTCTATTTGAACACCATTCAGAGTTGTGATTGTCTGGTCTGTTAACTTAGTGCGGCCACGGCTAAAAAATGCAAACCAGCTGCAAGCAATCATAAGCATGCGATCCTCTCCAAATTAGTTTATAGGTAATCTTTACTTAAACAGTTATTTTAAAAAGCAAACACAATTTTACAGTGTGTACTGTATTTTTGAATAAATAAATGCAGCCTTGGTGAGCAGGAGAAGCTTATTTTCAAACATTTAATAATCATACTGACCCCAAACTTTTGACCGGTAGTGTTCATACATATATATTCATTCATTTATTTTATTTATGGCTTAGTCCCTTTATTAATCAGAGGTCGCCACAGCGTAATGAACAGCTCCCGAAACTCTTTTCCCGATCTTTCTGAATGAAATGCCTACTTTACTACATCCAATCAGCTCGCAGTAGATGAAACAAGCTGTTTGCTCCTGTTTTTCTTGGAGCTGTCACAATACAACAAAAATGGTTGCAGATACTGCTTTATAGGGACGTATATACAGTTGAAGTCAGAATTATTAGCCCCACTTTGATATATATATCTTTTCTTTTTTAAATATTTCCCAAATTATGTTTAACAAAGTAAAGAAATTTTCACCGAATGTCTGATAATATTTTTTCTTCTGGAGAAAGTCCTTTTTGTTTTATTTCGGCTAGAATAAAAGCAGTTTTAAATTTTTTAAGAACCATTTTAAGGTCAATATTATTAACATAAAAACATCTGTTAAAACCTGATTAACTTATTAAAATTAATTAAAGTAACACAAAACATTTGCTGAAACCTGATTAACTTATTACAATGAGTTAAAGTAACACAAAAACATTTGTTAAAATCTGATTAACTTATTGAAATTAGTTAAAGTAACAATAAACATTTGCTGAAATCTGTTTTTCTTATTAAAATAAGTTATAGTAACACAAAACCATCTGTAGAAACCTGATTCACTTATTAAAACAAGTTAAAGTAACACAAAAACGTGTTGAAACCTAACTGCTACCATGTCAATATGGAGCAAAATCTCTGAGGAATATTTCCAGTACCTTGTTAAATCCATGGTACGAAGGATTAAGGCAGTTCTGAAGGCAAAAGCGGGTCCAACCCAGTAAAGTGTACCTAATAAAGTGGCCGGTGTGTAATAACATATTTGAAATTTCTAGATATTAATATTTACTTTTAAAGACTCAATATGGACTTTGGAAAGGATACCGCATCATTGACATCTTATGTATCAAACAGTGTTACAGGAGAGACTGACCTGAGTAACCTAATATAGTCTAAAACAGAGGTGTCCAAACTCGGTCCTGGAGAGTTTAGCTCCAAGTTACCCTAATCAAACACACCTGAAGCAGCTAATCAAGCTCTCACTACATATAATAGAAACTTCCAGGCAGGTGTGTCGAAGCAAATTGTAACTGAACTATGCAGGATAGTGACCCTCCAGGACTGAGTTTGGACACCCCTGGACTAAATGACTTCAGAAGCTCACTGTAGTTATTTAGTACTTGACAAAACTACTGTTCGGAGGATTTCTGTACTCATGATACACACGCTCATTACAAATATGTTGTTCATTTTCATTTCAGAATAGTTTTAACAGATGATATTGATTAAATT